GCACTTAACACTTAGCACACACCTGACTTCGTTGCCTTCAATTCAATCACTAGAACTTCCTCTTGACCTCAGGCAAACATGATGAGCTTAAGTGTACTAGCTAGTGCTTACCTAGTTTGATTTTCTGTTTAGAATATATTTTCTCACTGCCTTTCTGAGGGAACTCTTGGAGAGGACTTCTGTTCACAGACCCATGTGACTTTGCCGTCTTGGTCATTGTCTACCCCAGCCTGGTGCCATTCATTTGCATCCTCAGAGGGCCTGATTTATCAGTGTGAGCTGAGAGTCTGTCTCTCATCAGAGCTGAGTTCTGGAAAGGCAGGGCGCTCCTCTGTGCTGGTTTCAGCTGCCATCTTGAAACCCAGCCCTGTCCTAGATTCATTAAGGAGGAAATGAAAACAGGAGATGAAAACGCAACAGAGGCTGAGTTAGTAAAGTCTTCTGCAAGCATAAGGACCAGAGTTTAAGCCCCAGAAGCCACATGAAAGTTCTGGAAACAATTGGCCATGCCTGGAATTGCAACACTGAGAAGCTAGAGAGAGGGAGATTTGTTAGTCCGGCAGTTTTCCTATCTGTAGCTTAACTGATAGACTCCACTACAGTGAAAGAACCTGCCAACCTCCCTCAAACACAAAATGTATAGCCTCTGAGAAATAATACCCAAGGTTACCCTCTGCCCCCCCCCCCATACCTCTTTTTTAAATGATGGAAATGATTAAGAGGAACCCTGAGCGGTGATGGAGGGCTTCAATCGACAAAAGTGACGTTTCAATACAATGCTCCTTTCTTTCCAAAAGACTTTCTGAGTGCCTGTCAATCTTATTCTTGGGAAAGTGTTATGCTTCGGCACTTTACAGTCCTTTTCTGCTCCCTTCTAGCCCTTTCTGACCACGAAAATGTTGATTTAATGAGTCCAAAATAGCCAGAGATGGTTGGGCTCACTATATGCACTAAAAAATGCGATTTGAGGAAGGAATACCAGTCAGTTCAACTGCTGTTATTTATTAAGGAACTCAGTAAAGCTCCACCCACTTTGTCATGGAATGCAAATGTTCTGTGGTCTTTGCCAGTTCATTGACAGCTTTAGTCATGGGACACAATCAAACATTAACTGGTTGCACAAGTTTCTTCTCATGAGTCATGAGCAGGTTTGAGTAGACCTTTGGGAGCAGCAGAGGGAGAGGTACCATGACTGAGGTATGCCAGAGCTCTCGTTTGCTTCTGTTTCTTCCGTACCTTCTGTTGTATGTGTTTGGTCCCTCTGCATCCCATGCTGGGAAGCTGTTACTCTTCCCTATGGATGGCAGCCACTGGCTGAGTATGCTGGCAGTTATTCAGCAGCTCCAACAGAAGGGACATGAGATTGTGGTCATAGCACCTGAAGCCTCAATACACATAAAAGAAGGATCATTTTACACTCTGAGGAAGTACCCCGTGCCATTCCAAAAGGAAAACGTGACAGCTGCTTTTGTGGAACTTGGGCGGAGTGTCTTTGATAAAGATCCTTTTCTGCTGCGGGTGGTCAAAATATACCAGAGACTCAAAAGGGACTCCAATATGCTCCTGTCTGGCTGCTCCCATCTGCTGCACAATGCCAAGTTTATGGCCTCTCTGAAAGAAAGCCACTTTGATGTTCTGCTGACAGACCCTTTCCTTCCCTGTGGCTCCATTGTGGCCCAGTACCTGGCTCTGCCTACTGTGTACTTCTTGAATTCATTGCCATGCGGCCTGGATTTGGAAGCTACCCAATGCCCCGTTCCATTGTCCTACGTGCCCAAGAGTTTGTCTTTCAACACAGATCGCATGAACTTCCTGCAGCGAGTGAAGAACATGCTTATTGCTTTGTCAGAGAACTTTCTATGCAGAGTTGTTTATTCCCCCTATGGGTCACTTGCCACTGAAATCTTACAGAAAGAGGTGACTGTCAAGGACCTTCTGAGTCCTGCATCTATCTGGCTGATGAGAAATGACTTTGTGAAAGATTACCCCAGGCCTATCATGCCCAACATGGTTTTTATTGGTGGGATAAACTGTGTTCAGAAAAAACCCCTATCCCAGGTGTGTATTTGAATGGTGCTTTTCCATGTCTGTTGTTCTTTGTGGGAAAGGAACTTTCCATAGGTGTGTGCTGAGGTCAGTGAGCTTGCTGGGCTGGTTTCAAGTGCTCTCTCTTGTTAACTTCTATCCCCTAAGTCTCACAGTCTTGAATTTGTCTGTCCTTGGCATCCTTTTCTGACTTACTTCTTTGTATACAGTATTCTGGGAAAACATCTTGGACATTTTATCCTGGGGAATTCAATTTAATGCAACTAGCATTAATTGTCAGAAAAACTGCTGTGTTTGGGACACTTCTCAGAGAACAGAGCAGTGTACTATGAAGCATCCCTTTGATTGGAACTCGTGTCCTTGATTCAGGTACTAGTAGCTCAAGTCTGATGCAATTGTTCTTTAACCTTTATGGATCCTGACATGAGTCACTACCTTTATGGTCCTCGTTATTGTTCTAATGTCTAGATATTCTGACAGGAAGCTAGATATTGCAGTCTTCCTCTTCTTTCAGTAGGGCAAGGTGTCATCCCTCTGTCTGAGTGAGAGACAATCTCGGTAAAAGAAAGCAATTCAGGACCACCATCATACATGTTGAGTCTAAAATAAATAGCTAGTAGGAGATCAGGGAAGCCAGAGATAGAAAGATACTGATGACAAAAGTTGATGCAGAGTCATTGTCCAACCTGTCCCTGTTGCTTACTCTATTGGCCTCTGCACACAAACTTGCATGCCAGTTAAGCCTTAGCTAAGTCTGCTGTTTATGACCCTACAGATCTGATTTTGTGCCAATCACACATTACTGGCTGCTGGGTAGGCGTGGGAGGCCATGCAGGAAGGAAAATTAGACTGATCCCTTTCCAGATAGGATTGCATGTATCTTGGGTAGGCAAGCTTGTGCTTGGCTCAGGGGAAAGACTTCTGGCAGGTAGTCTAAATGGATTCTGGGAGAGCAAAAGATATTTTGTTCAGAGTTCAGCACCAACTCTACAGCTCTTAGTAGAATGTAAGAAATATTTAAAGGCCTTGTCAGCTGGAGAGAAGTATCCCTAGAGAGAAGGTCTTTCTTTCAGAGCATTTATCAAAGATTATTTGCAGCTAACATGTTGTCTCACTGTTAGGCTGTCCCAAGGACTGTGATGTTGTGGTGAAGTTTAGGGCATCTTGTGCCAAGTAGAGGGGACTCAAATGTGTTGGATCCACAAAAGTTGATGCAGAGTCACTGTCCAACTTGTCCCTGTTGCTTACTCTATTGGCCTCTGCACACAAACTTGCGTGCCAGCTAAGCCTTAGCTAAATCCTGCTGTTTATGACCCTACAGATCTGATTTTGTGCCAATCACACATTACTGGCTGCTGAGTAGGCGTGGGAGGCCATGCAGGAAGGAAAATTAGACTGATCCCTTTCCAGATAGGATTGCATGTATCTTGAAGAAGCAAAGATTTTAGACTGTAGGTGAGCTGTGATCTATCTGGAGGTAGCAGGAAAGCAAGGGGCACTTGGATGTGAGCTGCTTGCCACCAAGAAAGAAGTGCCTGGGGAGGGAAGGAAAACAGGATGCGATCCTAGAGAAGAAAGGCTTTAGAGCAACCAACTCCAGTATGCTCTTAAACAGATCAAAATCCAGGGCCACAGCAGAAAAGCCTGGCCTGGCCTCTCTGACTCTTTAGATGGGCCCAGTGGGTGAGATCAAGGTGCCACTGCTGTGATGATCTGCTGGGGTAGGGGTCTGCAACAGCCTGGCCCTTAGGTGGGTAGAAGAGGTATGTTCCTCTGGGAAGGTTGCCCAGGGTATGTGATCCTCATGTGTTCAGGATAGAGTTTGGTTGAAGTCTTTCTGTATCTTACATATAGGGGGATCAGGACATGATTTGCCCAGGAAAATTTGGATTTTAGTAATAAAAGTACCACGTTCCAGGCAGCTCCTCAGCTGTGGGCAGCCTGGCATGTCATACCATCATGTTAATGTTCTCCGAGTTCTTTGGAAACAGCTGAATCCATCTGAGAGACTCTTGGTGGTTAGTTAGCTTATTAATAATGTACAGCATGGGAGAACTGCCATGCTACTTAGAGTCTGTTTCCTGCATGGGGCCACAGGTAGGAACATGTACATGGACTTTGTTGTAGTAATTATTTTAAAGACGGCCACTGGTTCAAGCCGACTATCTAAGCTGCAGCAGCTCTGCCTAGCTCAGCTGCTATGTTTCTTGGCTAGAGGCCATGTGCGCACCGCAGCTAGAACCGGCCCACCAGAAACACCAGCCCTGACACTCACAAGATGCCAGCGTGGGAGATGGCTATGCCAATCTCCCACATTGTCTATGCAAGGCTGGGCATTGCCCAGACCATCCCGCCATCCACGTGGGCCCAGTAGAAAGATGAGACTCTAATGCTTAAAGATAAATCAAAGGCTTATGTATTTGGTAATGATCAGTAACAAGATACCAATACAATCAGAAGTGTAACCCAATACCCAACCTAGATATACCAACTACCTTTGACTGCTACAGACACGTGAACATCCGCCTCCATCTCTTCTCTCTCTCTCCCTCTCCTCTCCTCTCCTCTCCTCTCCTCTCCTCCTTTTCCTCCTCTCCTCCTTACTCCTCCTCTTCCTCTCCTTACTCCTCCCACCTTAGCTCCTCCTACAGACCTGTGTCATGTTCATGGATGCACATTCAGGTGTATGTACACTCATGTATGTGCCTCTGCTTCTCTTATGGGAAGTCAGCACATTACCTGGATTCTGCATCTCCAGAGAACCCCACAGATAACCCTGTAAGAAAGAAATCCTCCTGAACTGACAGGGGACAGACAGTTGCCATGATGATTTTTATTACATACACCCGTACACTGACTTCCATAAGAGGAAAGTAATGTGTAACCTAATGTGCTCAGTTCCCAAGGAATATGAGGGACAAGAGATGAAGTAGAAATGTCTTTTTCTGTTCTAGGAATTTGAAGCCTATGTCAACGCCTCTGGAGAGCATGGCATCGTGGTTTTCTCTTTGGGATCCATGGTCTCGGAGATTCCGGAGAAGAAAGCCATGGAAATCGCCGAGGCTTTGGGCAGAATTCCTCAGACAGTAAGATGGTTTTGCATTACTTCTTCATATCTGTTTTTATGAGAGCTTCAACTCCAGAGTTATGGGTCTATAAATGCAGAACTTTGGGATCTAGAAATCTTCTGACATTCCCCAATGTTGATGTTGTTATTATTGTTATTAGCATTAGATTATTATTATTATTATATTTTACAATTTCATTCAGGTACTCCTGCACTATGGTCTGTCTCACTCAGATTTCTCCTTTTCTCTAGGAAACTCCAAAGTATTAGGGAGAAACTGGTTAAAAATAAGCATGATACTGTTTTTTTTTCATACCAAATGAGGCTGTTTCATCAAAAAGATTTAGTTTTTGTTTGCTCTTGCTTAGTTAAGAAAGTTTCCATTTGCAGTGCAGAAAAATGAAGAGTTTTCCTGTGTCTGGCTTGGTGGCTTCTCACACTCAAATCACCAGGCTTCAGCATCAAGATACAGTGTTGTCTGAGCTCCAGGGACTTCCTGTGCACCAGACCTCCCACCATGCAGAGGCCATAGGTGTTCTTTCATATGACTGGCCTTTCTAGCTAGTAGAGCAGATGTTTTTTAAAAATCACATTGTGTTCTTTTATTAAACCCTGTGCTTTTTTGTCCCTACAAGGTCCTGTGGCGCTATACCGGAACTAGACCATCGAATCTTGCAAAAAACACAATTCTTGTCAAATGGCTACCCCAAAATGATCTGCTTGGTAGGTTGAGGACATCTGACATAGAGGTCAAACCAGGGTTAAATTATAAAAATGACAAACATGAATGTTTTAAATGATTGCTTAGCTTGATTGTGGCCCATACATATAACACATAGCATACATCACTTCTCTCCCCTCCCCCGTCCCAAGTTTCTACAATGGTCACATGTAGATAATAGTCCCTGGGGTATTCTCAGAATCTAGACACTGTGAGGCTGGAGAGCTCAGCGTACCTGTCTGTTGTGCTTCTCAGGTCATCCGAAGGCTCGGGCGTTCATCACACACTCTGGTTCCCATGGTATTTATGAAGGAATATGCAATGGAGTTCCCATGGTGATGATGCCCTTGTTTGGTGATCAGATGGACAACGCCAAGCGCATGGAAACTCGGGGAGCTGGGGTGACCCTGAATGTCCTTGAAATGACTGCTGATGATTTGGAAAATGCCCTTAAAACTGTCATCAATAACAAGAGGTAAGTAACAGAAAAAGAAAAAAAACAAACAAAAGAAAAAAACCAAAAACACCTACTTGTATTCATACCTAAAACATTTACAATCAACACAACAACAAATACATAAAAATCTATATTTATATAAGATAATATGGGAGTTATTCCTCCTTATAATGACTTTATATTTTACCATAGAATTTGTTTAAACATTTTTATTTTCCTTAGATTTAAAATTTTCAATTAAAAATAATATCACCATAGTAGGCATCTCATTGCTAAGATCCTGCAAAGAGAGAAATGTCCCATCCAAGAATGTGTAGGGGTGGTGTTGGAGAGATGCAGCACCTTGTGGGTAAGAGCTCTTGTTGTGCAGGACTGAGGATTGAGTTCAACCTCCAGCATTTATGTGAGATTCCAGGCCTCAGCACAGTGGAAAGTAGAGGCAAGAGCTAGGGCTTGCTAGCTACCTGCCTAGATCCAGATCCAGTGAGAGACAGCCTCAGAGAAATAAAGTGAAATGCCACAGAGGAGAATATTGTCTTACAGCCTTTAAGTGAATGCATAGACACACATCTGCACAGACACAGATGTGCAAGCATGCATGCACAAACACACACACACACACACACACACACACACACACACACACACACACA